TGTGTGTGTGTGTGTGTGTGTGTGTGTGTGTGTGTATGTATATTAATAAGTACTCTTTGGAAATAAGTATATGGCACTAACATACTAACATAAGTAATGCATACTTCCCCGTTTCATGTTTATTTAATCTTCTCAAAGGAAGGGAAAACAGCACACAGCTGCAACACACACAAAAAATGAAATCATGTTTTAACAAGAGGTGTGTAGTCTTTCAGTTCTTCATCTTGGTGATTTCCTGTTGGGATGAACACATACTACATTTGTTGGAGATTTGGGAAAGTTGTATTTCTCACTGGGGCATTACGTACCCTTGGGACTCTCAGCTTTTCTGGAATGAGTAGGGTGTAGGAGCCCTTGTGGTGCAATGGTTAAGCACTTAGCTGTTAACTGGGAGGTCAGAGGTTCAAACCTACCAGCCACCCTGAGGGAATAAATACCTAGCAATCTGCTCCCATAAGATTATAGCCTAGGAAACTATTGAGCAGTTCTACTGTGTTGGAAAGGGTCATATGAGTCAATCGACTCTACGGCACACGACAGGAAAAATAAAACTATCAACATTCTCCAAAGTTTTTTATTTGCAACTAATCTAGACAGATAGCATAAAATGTTTTTAATTAATCTCTAAGATCTGAAGGAATATGCATATTGAATCCTGAGATGAACAGATTAGTAATAGAAACCATGTGTATGAGCAACCGGTGATTTTACTCAGCTGTCCTGTTAATGAAAAAGAGGTCTCTACCCTTATTGCAGTTAAGCTGTTGTAGTTCATAAGCAAATGACTATTGAACATTTATATTTTCTCAAGGATTCTGTTAGCCACAAATCATTCTGTAAACCTCTTTACATTGTATATTTCACCCATTTATTCCACAACCAACTACAAAAAAAAGACATCATTTTAGGCTGTAGCTGGGAAAAGGAGACAGACAAATATGAAACAGGGCTGGTGTTGATTCAGTAGCATGTAGAAAAATAAAGCATGGTAAAAGATTTAAGAGAAGTAGAGGATGCCGATTTATTTAGACAGGGATGTCTTCTCTGATGAAGTGACCTTGGATAGAGACCTAAATGAAATAAGAAAATGAGCCTAATGGGTATTTAGAAGAAGAACAGAGAATGACATTCTAGGTAGAGGAAATAGCAAGTACAAAGGTCCTGGGATAGCATGTGCTTCGTGTGGAAGACCCTCAAGAAGCCTGATGGGACTGAAGTGAAATGAGTGAGGAGAAGAATAGTAGACATGCCAGATTTTGACTTTTACTCAGTCATAGGAAGGTTCTGGAGGGTTGGTTTGAGAAGAATTATCTGACTTACTTTTCTCTTTTCTGGGAAAGTAGGGCAAGTGTGTGAATAAGGAGGCAGTCCATGGTATATTCGGTATTGCCAGCACCACACAATTTTAATGCCTCAATTCTTCCGTCTCCCTTTTCCAATGCCTAGCTTTGTCATGCCTTACGTCAGGTACACCTTAGTCCTCAAAGTGACACTTTGCTTTCTAACACTTTGAAGAGGTGGTGCAAATGTTGATGTGAACAAATTCAGGAGTGTGACCCTGGGCATGTGTGGCTAAGGTTAGTGGTAAGACAAAAGCATTGGATTAGAGGAGTTCTATGAACTGAGAGGCCAAGGAGTTGGAAGGGTCCTTTATGTGAAAGATGAATCACCAAGAACCTTAACAGGGATAGTGGTGGACAGCTGGAAAGACAGTGCACTTAGAGAGAAGAGATTGCTAATCTTTTCAGGGAATAAGAGGGAATGACCTAGAAGTGTGCAGAAGATTGAGACAAAGAAGGGTAGTGAACAGAATGCTCCGGTGTATAAGCATTGCAGGAACTGGAGAGAGGGTGAATAGTCTACAGCAAGGTGAGTACTCCACCCCATATCCAGGCTCCATGGGAACGGATATGGGAGAGGGAAAGCAGACCTGTATGAGTGGGCCACAGAGGATCAGGAAGAGCCGAGTTGTCATTTAGATTAAGAAAATGAAAGGAATGGGCATAGGATAGGTTGAAGAAGTAAGGGTAATGGTGCCCCGAGCTGAGTAGGAGGAGAGCTGTAGGGGTAATGGATAGTCTGTGTGGCTTTGGCTTCTTGTGGTGAGTGAGGTGACCAGGGGTGTGGGGCAGGTTATGGTGGCCAGGCTCTGAGCACTGGGGTTGGGGAGGTCTTCCCTTGAAGCCTGAGCAAGCAAGGTGGGGGGGAGGGGGGTCTGTGTTTTCCTAGAATCTGGCACAGAGAAGACATAAATATATGTTTGAATGAGTAAAAAAAAAAATGAATTGAATCCAAAGAAAGAAAATGGCAAGTAAGACTTTAATGGCCTTGCTGAAAATCCAAATAAATTTCCTGAAATGTGATGAACATTGAAAAAAGGCTAGAGTTGGTCTCTGGAGGACAAAAGAGATCTTGGCAAATGTGGGAAAGAACTTATTGCGAAATTGAAGTTTAGACTAGAAAAAATAAAATCATAAACAGAAGGCCACACTGGGCAAAGGGTATTTGAATTGAAATATTTTCCAGCTTATATAAACAGTTGCATGATCAATTTGTAATTTGGAAGTGGATTATCATATTCTTAGGCTAAATCAGAAGATTACTAGCTTTAAAAATGTTAAGCTTTGGTCATTCATTGTAAATGAAGGGTTTGAAGTCATAATACCCTCTTAATAGGTTTATCTTTCCCAAATTATAGATGCCAGAGATCAGCTAATTTGTTTATTATTAATACTTTTACCTAAAAACTGGAGAACATTATGCCTGTAGACTTGGGTCTCAATGTGGAAAATTTGCATCCACCTTCAAAGATTTTATATATATATATATATATATATATATATATATATATATATATATATATTAATGTTGTTTATATTGAATTTAACTTGGTGGGCTACATACACCTTTTAAGGCTCCCGGCAGGCACAGATTTCCATTTGCGGCATCCAGGAGAGTGCTGGCTGATGGTCACCTTGCACTGTGAAACATGTTCTCCAGCTACCAGACCATTGTCATGCCCCGTTCTTCTTCTTGTCGTTTTAGTGACAGCTATATTGTGCGTGTCAAGGCTGTGGTTATGACCAGAGATGACTCCAGCGGGGGATGGTTCCCACAGGAAGGAGGAGGGATCAGTCGCGTCGGGGTCTGTAAGGTCATGCACCCTGAAGGCAATGGACGAAGCGGCTTTCTCATCCATGGTGAACGACAGAAAGACAAACTGGTAATGGCAGACATGCAATATGTGGGTTAAAGTAGCAACGACTGGTTCCTTTACATTGAATTAAAGCTGTTTTCCTTTAGGGTTTTTTTGTTTGTTTCATTTCCCCCCTTCTTCACCTTTGTCTTTGGAAAACATCAAAAGTTAAACCTCTGGAGCTGATGCCAAATTCTAAAACATAACCCCTGCTTTCCAATGAAGCCTCTTTTTACCACACGTCATATAACTGAGATGCTCAGAAGTAGTGTATGTGTGGCTGTCTTGTTTGGTTCTTGGATTAATTAAGATATCTTTCTGTCATTGGGCAAGGTACTCAGAACAAAAGTGTGCTCTTTATTATGAATCACATTGTACTGAGCAGTGAAGTCATGATTTTAAAAATGCATGGTCTGTTCATGGAGCATGCCATGGAGGTTTGGGATGGGGAAAAGTAGAATGCAAAGACAGGGTGTCATCTGCTGTTTGGTTACTTCTAAATGATGGTTTGTCTAAAAGACACTGTAGCTTTTTCTTATAAGATAATGAATAAAGTATTTTTTGATAAAAGATAAGTAACCAATAGTAGTGGTTTCACACTGCTATAAATAATTACACATGCTCATAAATAAATACTTTGGAGAGTAATCATTACCCCACATGGGTGGGGCTTGGGGGATGATAGTTCATAATATACAATCTCATAAGGGAACAGGATGTCTAGATTTTTGTTATGAAGGTATCCATGAAATGAAGGGAAATAGAATGCCCCAAATCTATTTTAAATTGGCAGCCAGAAACCTGGAAGAACATTACTACTATCTGTTTTTGATTGTGACATGTTTTTATACAAAGGCCAACAGATGATTCATTGTGTGGAGGATAGTATAGCATCTTGCAGAGAAAATGCAAAGACACCATAGGAATAGGTCAGTGTTACCCTTGAAACCCTTAATAGTGGCACCTGTTGGAATGTCTATAGTAAATAAGCAAATTCAGTCCTTTGTAACCGTTTTCCTAGTTTAAAAAAATTTACAGGATAGATTGAAACCATTATTAAATGTTATATGTAGGTTAACAGAAATGCCATTTTTACACTTGATTCATTTCTGAAAATGTAAAGTGGAGAATGTAATGCTAATGTTCAGTGTCTATTCAAGAAACTTTCTACCTGAGAGTTACACAATTAAACCATCTTTGCTTATAAAATATTCACAGTAAAGGTAATGTAACCACACTACCAAAGAAAAATAAAAGTAACTACCATTTATGTAGTATTGATTACTGTGTGTTAAGTACAACCCTGGCTGTTTCATTAGATTATAATGTTGTATCCTCACAGCAACCTGAGTAATTATAATTGAAAAAAATTAAGTTCAGAACCATTCCTTGATGACCTGACCCAACTTGGGGGCCTGAAACCAGTTTGGAAATTTTGTCACTCTGACCTCAACACTGAGTCACAGTTGCACAAGTATAACCACTTTTTGCCTTTAATGTATTTCCTTGTGCATATATTTATTTTCACACAGAGTTTATAAACAGTTTGGCGTATCACTTGTTTTGCCTTAACATTCTCATAAGAATTATCCATATTGCTGGTATCAGTCAGGTGATGTTTCATTCTTTATCTGACCACTTCTTTGGTGTCAAAAACTGAGGTTCTTTCCTCTGGTAGAGTAGTGCCTAAGGCATTTGACTGCTCACCAGAAGGCTGGAGGTTCAAACCCGTCAGCCATTCTTCGGAAGGAAGATTGGGCAATCTACTTCCCCAGTGATACCCCCTCGGAAACCCAAGGAGGGGTCACTATGAGTTGGATCTGACTCCACGGCGATGTATTTGGTTTTTTTTTTTTTTGGTCGCCGCCACCCCACCCCACCCCCCGGTATTATGAACAGTGTTTTAATAGAACTAACATGCATTTTCCACATTAATTATTTTCTTGGAAAATTACAGGGGTCAAATTTGTATGACTTTTGATAGATATATCAAAAGGCATGAGAGACTCCTACCAGCATATATGAGAATTTCCTTTAACATATTGAGGGTCATCTGATTTAAAATTTTTACTAGTTTTATAGAAGTAACAGTAGTATCTTGTTGTTATTAACTGATTAGGTCCACTGTTTTTCTGTTTGTTAAACAGTTGTAACTGTGAATTGTTTTTTAATGTCCTTTGCATATTTACTTTTGGGGGCCTTATTTTTCTCCTTGATATGTTATGCCCTGTTGTATGAAATAAAGATATTAATCCTCATTGGGCATCTTCACTGCCAATACATTTTTACAATCTCTTCCTTGCCTTTTTATTTTAGTTGGGGTTCTTTTTCTCCAAAAATTTTCATGGGAATTTCTTTTTTTTTCCTTCTTATTGTTATTATTACTTCTGTGTTAGCAGATTATCTTACCTGGAGGGTTACATATATTAATCACTATTTTTTTTTCCCCAGGTTTTTCTGTGGTTTGTCATGAGTATGTCAGCCTAAGATTATTTGATCCAACCTCATTATTTTACAAGTTTATGAACTTAGATTCCTAGCACTGATATGTACATAATACAAATCAGTATACATAATGTAAACTTCTACCATTTTGCTTTAGGTCTTTTACATAAATAACTTCAATTAAATTCCTGCAGCATTCAAAAGGAGGGAGATAGTGTCCTGCTTTGTAGATGGGGAAACTGAGTGTGACGAGAGGGGACCCACTCCCTCCGTCTAGGGCACACAGTCATGGGCAGAGCCAGCATGGGAACTTGTTTCTTTGTAAAGCCAAAGCTTAGTCCTATTATACTAACTTTGCATAATGATAGACAGAGGTCTATGGAGCTCTGGTGGCATAGTGGGTAAGGCACTTGGCTGCTGACCAGAAGGTCAAGTTGTTCAAACCCATCAGCCTCTCCACGGAAGGAAGATGGGGTGAAATTAAATTTTCTGTAAAGATTTACAGCCTCGGATACCCAACGGGGGTCACTATGAATTGGAATCAACTTGAAGGCAGTGAGTTTGGTGTTTTGTTTCGTTTTGTTTTTAGAGACAGAGTTCTGATTCTCTGCCACCTCTCTGAAGCTGTAGCCCAGTTTCTCTTGTTTGTTGCAAGATGATTACAAAGATGGTACTATACTAAATGTGTACCTCTCCCTATCACGTTTCTCCAGCCCTAAGTCTTATTTCCTTTCAACTCCATAGATGCCACACTTTTGGCTTTCAAGCTTCTACAGTGCACTACTTCTGCCCTCTGGGAGGTTATAAGCCCAAGTGGAAGCTCTGCAAATGGGGTGGGTTGTTGAGGGAGCCCCCCTCTAAAAGGTGGAATGGCAGCCGGAACATGGAGATTATTTTTGGTGTACAGTGGTATCAGAGTTCCCAGCTTTCTAGCTAAGATAGGAAGTGTTCTTTCTGATGGAAACAGTGTTGTCAATAGTTTTCCATTGTAGTACAGTTCTAGAATTTAGCTACTTTATTTATTTATTTATTTTTCATTGAATTATATGTTCAGGCCTGTGCACTTTACACCCACTGTTCTATGGAAAAGTCTGTATTACAGACATCTATTCCCAGGTGTTATTTAGAAAATAATTATTTTTGTAATTTGGGAATAACCAATTTTCCAGAACAATTAGATATAAATAATTTTTTTTAATTGAATCTTAACTTTAGATGGATTAAAGGATTTAGACCATATTTTTCATAAATAACACCTCTGTGCATATAGTATATATCAGTAACTAACACAGGAGGGGCGCATTCTGGTTACCTAGTGCCACTCTGACAGGAATACACCACAAATGGGACAGCCTTAACAAACAGGAATTTATTCTTACAATTTGGAGGCTTTAAGTCCAAGTTCAAAGTGCCAGGTTCTAGGGGCTGGGTGAAAGCCCCTCAACCTTGGAGTCTAGCTCTGCCTCCTGCTTCTGGCCCAGTGGAGTTAAAGGCATGTCTTCACTCAGACAGCTGCTGGCTGCTGAGATTGAGAAGCCCCAAGGTTGAGAAATCAAAAGGCACAGTCCTGATGTTACCAAACCACACAGCAGGCCATTAACTTAAGTCCATTTTAAGTCTCAAGGTCAGCAGAGCATAGCAGGTTGGTGAGCAACGACACGGCTACATGCAGGGTCCAAGTGTGCCATAGGCTAGAGGCTATCCCCAAAGCTTCTCCTTATGTACAGGAGGCAGACCACATCCCAAAGGCAGCTACTGAGCTGCTTGTGGTAGATCCCATCATGAAGTTGATTGCCAGTCTCATGATGGGGAATAACTACCACTAGCTGCCCAGCCACTCAACCAGGCCCAGCCAAGTTGACACACAAACATAACTACCATAGGGCGCAAATAACTCACATTATTTGTGTAAAAATACAGTATTCTTTAAACAAATGATGTGAGAAATCACCTTATGTAGATTAATCACAAAATCTGAAAGGTTGATTATTTCGATTGTTGCCTATGTACAGATCAGGCATTTTCACAAAAGTTTCAAGTGGCAGTGCTGTCTTTCAAAGGCAGTTTGGCAGGACATTAATTTTAAATGTGCATACTTTTTTTTTTTTTTTAAATCAGGCAGTTCCACATCTAGAAGCCTGTCCTGTAGAAATAGACTTACACACCAAGATACATGTATATGAGTAATTCTCAAATGTTTTTGATCTCAGGATCCCTTTACACTCTAAAAAATTATTGAGGACTCCAAAGAGCTTTTGTCTTTGTGGGTTATAGCTATTAGTATTTACCATATTAGAAATTAAAACTAACAATTTTTTAAGCTTTCTTCATTAAAATGACAATATTGTTAACATAGATAACATTTAATGAACAAATACAAAATAAAAAAAAAAAAAGAATAGCTTTATTTTACATTTTTACAAATCTCTTTAGTATCTGGCTTAATTGAAAATAGCTAGATTCTAATATCTACTCCTGCTTTCCATCTGTTTTGATATGTTGTTTTGGTTGGGGTATATGAAGAAAATCTGCCATACACAGATAAGTATTTGGAGAAGGGAGAAGTATTTTAATAGTCTTTTTAGATAATCGTAGATATTTTTCTTTGATACCACACCAAACCTCCACCATGGTAGTTTCTTAAATGTGGAATATAGAATCTGAAACCACATCGATGGACTTTTGAGACTCTGTTACTTTAAAACCCACTGGTTTATCTTGCGCTTTGAGTGGGATTTTTTACTCATGCCTTATTTTGTAACATCATGCATTGTTCATTTAGAAAGTACTGGTGTACTGAGTTATGCAGATCTCCCATATGTTGACACATTTCATTCTACAGTGTGGTGGGGGTGGGGGTCACATTTCCTCATATCACCACAGATCTCATCAGAAAGGTCTTTAAGTGTTGGGAAACTATCCAAAATTCTAATTTTCACTTGAAAGTTCACATTTTTTGGCAGTAAATACCACCAGTTGTTTTCCTTGAAGTGACAGCCTTACTTTGGCCATTTTCAAGAAAATGTCTGCCAAACACCTAATGTGAATAACCATGGCTGGTCTCTCAGATGGTTGGTCTCTCAGTTATTCTTTCCAATAGACATGGCGGTATGTGAAAATGCGGTTAGTTCAACTCACAACCAAAACAATCACACAAGTCCTTCTCCTTGAAACAACCTTCATTCTTCTATATGCAGAAGTGAAAAGGCTATTAAAAATACTCCTTTCTCCTTTTTCCAAGTTCACATTTATATGAAACCAGATTTCCTTCATATACTTCAACCAAAGCAACCTATTACCATAGGTTGGATGCAGAAGCTGATAAGAGAATGTAAAGTGCGTTTCCCTCTTCATCACACAAAGTAAAAGACATACACTTACAGGTCAAGATTTAGTAAAATAATTTGTACTGCTTCATAAGGACATTCCTTAATAAAGCCAGCATCGTCTTATTTTGTGTGATGGTGAAGAATCTGATAACTTTTAGTACTGTTGGCTGCCACTGCTGGGATTCATGCTCCATTTGACAGCAGTTTATCCACCATTCCTTTTAGCCATCAGCATAATACAGTCAGTATAGTGAAAGAGGAAAAATTGTCTGCTTATTATTATGAAAATAGTTTTATCATCCTGGACCCCCAAAAGGGTCTAGGGTGGAGGATGGATGCTTCAACAGCCCACAGACCAGTTTTGAGAACTGCTACTGTGCAAGGGTGATCATTGCAGCATTTTCTGTAAAAGTGACTAATTAGAAACAACCTAAATGCCCATTAGCATGGAGAATGGGTGAATAAACTAATACATCGATACTGAGGAACATTGTGCAGCCATTAAAAATAATCCTTTGCCTGTGTCCCTAAGACATATTGTTAAGGAAAATAAAAGGCAAATTACAGAATAATTGATCAAGATGGCTACCTTTAAGCACACTCACACATTCACAAACATATTTATATATAAAGAAGCCACAGAAAGGGAACTGGGATTGTGTTCCAATTGTTCCATTGTGTTCCACAGTGACAGTAGATAAGGAACAGGAGAGGAATTCAGGGTTGGAGGGGATCAGTAAGAATAGGGCCTTTCATGTAGTCATCTAAACTACTTGAATCTTTTACAATATGTATTTCTTGCATAAAAAATTTTTAAGTTTCCAAAACGAATATAACCACCTAGGTTTTGGGTTTTTTGTTTTGTTTTTCCTTCCCATGCATCTCATTGTAAAAGATATTTTTAAAGCCTTCCTCAAGTTTTAAGTCAATGCCTAATGTGTGTGTGCCAAAACTTCACTGTAGGCTTTATGCCTGCTATTCAGTTTGAAGAATCTGACCTTTTCCTTCCGGTCACTAAACTTAAATATGTAGTGTGATGTTACTTTGTCTGGGAGGCGATACCTGGTTTTCTCTCCTCATATGGTTTACATGGCTGAACTTATTTTAGCTTAAATTTTCCTAAGAAAATATGCTTTTGAAGTAAGCTTGGAAAATGTTAACCAAAGACTTAATTTTTTTTCACCCTAAAAATATGGAGAAACTCAAAAGTCTTCATTTTTAAAAAGCATTTATTTTGAGACTTTGAATTGAGACTAATAAATTCCAGAATAGATAACATTTGTTAGTTAAAGCCTTGGTTATTTGGATTTCCCCAATTTGGAATGGGGCAGGGCTGACATTTAATCATTGCACTATTCTTAGGGGAAAATGGCCATAATAAAGAATTTAATTATAAATAGAATGTGTGAGGGCACTGTTGTCCTCTTCTGATACTGTGTAATAAACTTAGCTGCTTGGCACTGCTAGTTGATATGCCAATTTGATTATTCTCATCTATTCAATTAAGTTAGGGAACATTTATTAGGTAGCACTTAATTTCGGCTTGTGAGATATATTCTTGAAATTAATACTAATTTAAAGATACTCTCTAATTTAAATTATACTAATTAAAGCAGGCCTTCACACCTTCCCATCAATTAATCTAAATTAATAAGATCTCATTGTGTTAAATGCAAAACTTTGCCAGAAGATCAAGGCTATTAAAACTTAGCAAAATCTACACATAAGTTGGGCTTACGAAAAATGTTTTTGTTGTTATAACTAACTACAGGGGTATTTTTATAAAAAATAATAAATTTCTGCTGAAACACTGTACTATATATATATATATGTATATATATACATATATATATACACACACACATATATTAGCAAAATCATTATGAATCATAATGAAACCATAGGAATAAATATTATCAATATTTTGAAGGTTTTTTGGTGAATAAAGAATTATATTTACATTCACATATTGCTCTGCTTCTTTTATTCTGTATCTTTATCAACAATAGCACTGTGCTAGACACAGCTAGCGTTAAATCTTGATCCTTTACAGTCCAGTTAGGGGATCAAGACTAATGCACTTGGAAGTGGTGAAGAATAGTATGTAATAAGGGACTAAATTGTGAAGATGACAAGGACAAATGCAAGAAAAGACTTCTTCCAGTTGTGGGAATGTACTGGGAAATGAATTAAGCTTCTGATGTATTCAGTGTTTTCAGAGCATGTTCATATATATGTTGTCATTGATAATCTTAGTGTTACTTCCATTTTGGAGATTAATGATAGTGGATCAGAGACAACCTACTCAAAGTTGAAGCTTAGTAAAAGGCAGTTCTGAGACTGGATTGCTGAAAACTTGGCGATTGTTCTAGTTATCCTGATACAGAGTTCATAGAAGGCTAGATTAGGGTGGGAGAATTGAAATGAGATTGATATAAAAGTTGTTCAAGGAAAAATGAAACGGATTAATACTGTAAGGGATAGAGAACATAAAGGAGGCAAAAAGGACCACATGATTTTGAGCCCAAGAGAATGAGCAGAGAGGAGCTGACATTGTAAGAGATGGGGAAAATGGAAGAAGCAAGCTAGTCGCAGAAATTTCCAAACAGATTAGTTTTCACCTTGTTGAATTTGAGGTCATAGGCAGACATCATTAGGGCAGGGTGAGAGATTGAGGGTCACCAATACAGAAGCCCTGATATAGAAGCATAAACTTGGAACAGCAAAGACCCAAGACCAGGACCTCAGTTTAGTGTACTGTAGTCAGAGGCAGAAGGGGGAGGAATGGATGAGGTTCAGGGGAGCATGATGAAGGAGCAGTACAGTGGGGGGCCACCAGAGCCAAGGGGGTAGTGTCATGGAAGATTGGATGGTCAGCGGAGGCAGGCCAGTATGAGATGGGGAGACTTGCAGGTACATGGAAGCAGGGGGTAGAAGGGTTTCATTAGTTGCCACCAGTGATAGTTCCTAATCCAATTCCTGCTATCAGACACCATTATGGCAATTCCACAAGTAACCAGCCTGTATGTTTCAATCCTTCAGGTGGTATTGGAATGCTATGTAAGAAAGGACTTGGTCTACACCAAAGCCAATCCAACATTTCATCATTGGAAGGTCGATAATAGGAAGTTTGGACTTACTTTCCAAAGCCCTGCTGATGCTCGAGCCTTTGACAGGGGAGTAAGGAAAGCCATTGAAGACCTTATAGAAGGTATTAAATTCATCACTGTATTCTTAATAGGACTATGGAAACTTCCCAAGTTCTTTTCCATTCCAGTACTCTACTATTTTATATTTGTGATTTATTTGCAAGGGGGTGGGGGCCAGGTCAGTAGATGTCAAATCCTTGGGAGGCTCCAAGGAGAATGATTAAATTGCCAGTGCAGAGGAGGAGGAGATGGATTTCAGAATCAGGAGTGGTCCCCGCTGGGTTTTAGCCTCTGCTCTGAAAAAGACAAGCAGCTAATTTCTGAATGGCCATGTGAATGAATTTTTGACTGATTTCACCCTGCCTAAACTATGAGCTCTGGTAGCATAATGGCTAAGACACTTGCCTGCTAACCAGATGGCTGGCGGTTCAAACCCACCAGCCACTCCTCGGAAGGAAGGTTGGGCAATCCTACTTCTGTAGTGATACTGCCTCGGAAACCCAAGGAGGGGTCGCTATGAGTCGAGTTTGACTCGACGGCACATAACAACAACAACAACAACAACAAACTATTAAAACTGCTTAGATTTGGCCTGTGTTGGTTCAGATGCAGAAAATGGATTCTAGCAGGCCCACCAGCCGCCACACTACCCACTATCCTATAACCAAAGGCCAGGGTACACTGCCTCCACTGAGGATGCAAAGGGAGCTGTGATTCTTGGAGCCCTGGTTCACTTTAGGCCTTCCCTGTGGATGAGTTACAGGTAGACATTGATCATGGCCTTGAAGGGCCTTTGAGTCAGTTCTCATGGTGAGCTTGGGTAGAGTCTAAGCTCACACATAGATAGAGTCCATGCACACACACAAATTCTCCACTTCAACCCATTCAGTCACCAAATCAAAGGTTAAAATTTCTCCATGGAAAAGTCTCCATAATCAGGGTCCCTGTGGCGAAGGAAATATCAAGCAAGGCACATTAATGCCAAATTCAGAATTAGGGGAGATTAATCCCAAGAGAATATATGTTTCATTTGTTTAAGTCATTTTCTTCATTGTGATTTGGAGTGGGAGAGAAAAGCAAATATTAAAAGAAACACTTGCTATTCTAATCAGTAATAAGAATTCTAGCTAGAATATGAATCCACTAACTACAACCATGTGATAACCCACAAGAGATAATAAAACCCAGTTCGAATTCACATCATAGATTTGACATAAGTGGCAAATACTTAAAATGTATTATTAAACATAGCTTTTTAAATGTACACAGAGAAAATAGTTCCTGTATTATTGATACATATTTGCTGTTTGTACTTAATCACTGAAGCTACACACAAAATTTGATTCTCCTGCTTTTAAATTTTTTTTTCTGTGCACATTCTACCTATTTTTTCTCTATCAAACTTGCCTTAAACTTTGATTGAGTGAAGTAATTCCAACAGGAATTCTACAGAGAGTATTTTGAAACTATTTTTTTCTTTCTCCACCAGTCCCTCATTATAAATTTAAATATTTCTTATCTCTTTCTGAGCACTTATTTTAATTCTGTTTTATGCAATACCAAAATATTTTCAAAACGCATACTTTTTTTTTAAGACCTAACCTAACCAAGAAAATGGAGAATAAGTTTCCCTTTTGGTATATCTGCCACTTAAGCAAATCTTGTGTTTTTTCCTTTGGGCCATTAACAGTGTCAGTTAGTTCAATACACATTTTATTGGTGCTATCAGAGTGGGGAAAAGTGGTGCCAGGCAGTGATTGCCTATAAATACCAATTTTTGTTGATAGTCTCTTTTCCAAATGCAGTTCTACTAATTCCATACTAGCATGAAGGAAGATGTGAAAAAATAATTGAATTCTACACGACTAATTTGTTCCATAATGGAATGAGCTAGGTTTCTGACATGAACTAAAAGTTTACCTGGAAGAGCAGAGCAAACTCATGGATGCCCTGGTATTACGGGAGGAAATCTCCTTGCCATGGCATCAGCTTAGAAGGCGACTTCTACAGTTTGGGTTTGTGGAGTACAGTATTTTAATACAAGCTATTGTGTCAGACCCCCTCCCTGGTAGATGAAAAGATCACAGAAGCTAAGTCAAGTTTATCCAGTAAAGTTGTGACACATTTAACTTGGGGTTTCTCAGTCCAGTGCTTTTCCCCAGAAACCACAGTGACCTCAGGGTCACCGGCAGAGATCTGATCTCCCTGCATGCCCTTATAGAGGATCAAGTAGATGCAAGACCGTTCTTTGGTGGTGCCTTTATTGGCATAAACGTCAGAGTGATTAATTGGGAACAGCAGTAAGCCAAGTTAATTTTAAAAGCATCCTGGCAGCAGTCAATTAAAGAAGAGTGAATTAAAAGCATTTAATTCCCAGGTACTTATTTCTGCTGGCGAATCACATTCGAAAGGAATGGAATAAGGCTTTATTGAAATACAGTCTTTAAATGATTGGATTTGACTTACCCTCTTTGGAAACACTTTTTTTTTTTTTTTTTTTTAATCATGTTTTTGTCTTCTTAGGCTCAACCACATCATCTTCCACCATCCATAATGAAGCCGAGCTTGGTGACGATGACGTTTTTACAGTAAGTTTCCTTTGTTCCTTGCTTTCCAGATTATTAGATGAATAATCAGAGGTTCTCTTTAAGGACACGAGAGACGCTTTGCAGTTTGGCATCTGTTTTTGTTGTTTGGGCCACCAGAGAGATTTCTTTCTTTCTTGTCACAATTTTTCCTGCTCCATGTTTAGCCATTTTGCTTATGCTGCAGTGGTGGGTGCTGTCTGCCACAACAGGGGCAGCTCTCCTGGTTTACTCCTAGCTTCTCTCAGAGTCTTCTCTCAAACTGAGGGTGACAAATTGCTTTGGTTTGCCCAGAACTATCCCAAATTCAGCCCCGAAAGAGCCTCATCCCAGGACAATTGGCCACCAAATTCAAGTTTTCTGTTAATGCACCTCCCTCTCTGGCTTCAAGGGGAAAGCCAGAAAAAAGTAACCTTCCTAATGAGTAATTAAACATCTGATAAGAAAGGCCTGAAGGGGCTGAATTGAAGTTCCACCCAAGTGTACTATGACAGGAAAGGGCTTGGCTATTTTGACACAGCTTGAGTTAATGGGATGTAAACTGGAGACAAAATGATTTCTCAGCTTGCTTCTTCATTTAATTCTTGTGTTTCTAGAAGTTAATTAACAAATAGTTCATTCCGTGCCTGCTGTGAGCTTGGAGCCCTGAGGAGCTGTAGGGCAGTGTTTTTAAACTCGTGGCCTAGACTCTCAGTACAAAATATATTTACGTGGTGGCTCAGGACACACAGCCATATATACCTGAAACTAAGTTGGACTTCATGTTCTGCATTCTGATTTTTTTCGCTTGTTTCGTTTCCTTCTTGGCTTTTTATTACGAAAATTTTCAAACATACAGAAAAATTAAATGAACTATATACCCTACCCCTAAATTCAACAGTTGTAGCATTTTGCCACTTTGGCTTTGTGTACACACATATACCATGTATGGGTCCCTAAATGCACATACACACATGCACACAAACATGACTGTTTTGTCAGATTTTGTTTTATTTGTTTTTGCCGAGCCATTTGTAAATACCACCAGATGCCATCAAGTTGATTCAGCTCATGGTGACCCCATGTGTGTCAGAATAGAACTGTTTTCCATGGGATTTTTAATAGGTGACTTTTCAGAAGTAGATTGCCAGGACTTGTCTTCAAGGCACCTCTTGGTGGACTCACCTCTAACCTTTTCAGTTAAGCAGCCAAGCATGTTAACCATTTGTACAACCCAGGAACTCCATTGAAAATATCAAACTAAAACCAAACCCACTGCCATGGAGTCAATTCCAATTCATAGCAACCCTATAGGACAGAATAGAACTGCCCTATAGGGTTTCCAGCGCTATAAATGTTTGCAGAAGCAGACTGCCTCATCTTTCCCCACAGAGTGGCTGGTGGGTTCCAACCACCAACCATTTGGTTAGCAGCTGAATGCTTTAACCATTACACCAGAGCTCCTTCCATTGAAAATAAGTCACCTCTAAATATTTCCACATGCATCTTCTAAAAATAAAGCATTCTCCTACACAGCCACAACACCATTACCATACCTAAGAAAATTAATAGGAATTTCATAATATCATCTAATACCCAGTTCATATTTCCCCACTTGTGCCCAAGAATGACTTTTATAAGCTGATATTTATTTCATATTTTAAAATGTTGGTGAAATGTTGCCATCAAATCAATTGTGACTCGTAGCAACCCTATAGACAGAGGAGAACTGCCCGATAGTGTTTCCGAGGCTGTAAGTTGTACAGAATCAGACTGCTACCTCTTTTTCCCACAGAACATTTGGTTAGTCCAAATAGCTGACCTTTAGGTTAGCAGCCAGGCACTTAACCACTGTGCCACCAGGGCTCCTCAAAAATGTATGTTACAACCCATTAGAGTTGTTTGCCAACCCACTAATGGTTTGCAACCAGTGGTTTTAAAAACACTACTTTGGGTTTACAAAATGTGTAAGCCATGGCTCTGGCCCTCAAGGAGATTACAGGATGGTTTTGGACAGAGATGAGGTTGGCCTGTGAAAGACTTAGAGACTGGCACAGATTATATAAAGTAATCTGGCCCAGAGGGGAAGTAGAGGCTTGGGGGTGAGAAAAGGCTAAACAAGGTGAGGCTGAACTGGACCTTGGTGGCCCTCGAACAGGGTGGAGGAAGGGGTTTCTAGTGTGTGATGAGCTGCCTGGTCATGAGGGATCCCAACCTGACCTCAGCAGGGTGTGCGTAGGAGGTTCAGGAAATGAACTCACTCATCCCTCCTTGGAGCTGCTGGAGCCGTCGGTGTGATGCAGCTCTGAACAGGCTTCCTACAGTGCTCCGAGCAGATCCTCTCAACAGTTGGCATGTTGCTTACATCTGTTCCTTTGTCACGTTTCAAGAGACAAACAACAGCAGGCGGGTTAAAAGGTGGCTTCCTGTGCTCCAGAGCAAAACTGTCATTCGCAGCTGCTTCCCAGCTACCTGCCAGAAGTGATTTATAGAATTGGGAGAGGGAGAGAGGGAAGGGGATGATGGAAGCCAGAATACCTCCTGGTTTTGTCCTCTAATCTGCAGGGGATCAACATGCTGTTCCAGGGGTAAGGCCGAATGCAGGGAACTAATAAGAAGTTCAGAAGCAGCCCTGCTGCTTCCGGACACTTGGAAACTCACTGGATGGGGGAGCTTCACTTAATTGGATTCTGGTGTAGGTCCCTATGTATACGGTTGATCACCTTCATTCCATCTGTTTACAAACAAACTCACTGTTGTCGAGTCAGGCCCGACTCATAGCAACCCGTCCTTGGGTTTCTGAGGCAGTATCACTACGGAAGTAGATTGCCCAACCTTCCTTCTGAGACTGTCCTTGGGTTTCTGAGGCAGTATCACTACGGAAGTAGATTGCCCAACCTTCCTTCTGAGACTGTCCGGTGGGTTTGAACCACCAGCCTTCTGGTTAGCAGTCAAATGCCTTAGGCACTATGCTACCTGAACTCCCTTACAAACAAAGACCTATTATTAGTAGCACCTCCCTTCCCCAAAAAAACCCTGTGATCAAGCCATTGACTGTTACAAACACCTTCTACTTAAGTATGGGAGAGGTCATTGGCTTCCTATTCACTCGAGCTCCCTTACCTTAGATTTTCTGTCCTAAGTCAGTAAACAAGGCATCTGAAACTTAGAGCCAAGGAAGTGAGAACTGCTTTAACTACTGTATAGCCTACAGCACCCTGAGTTTTGTTGTGTTCTAAAACTTTCAGGTAAGACAGTTGTTTAGAACGAGGAACTCATTTATTATAAGCAGTGTAAATGATGGTAAGGTCCTCTTACAGCTTGTGATGAACCAGAATGATGGTCTTTTCTAAGAGAACAGCATGTGTATGGGAAAACCTTCAGACTTCTATCTTGAGGAGTCGAGTCTGCCTCTTCTGTTTCTGCTGCTAGATCCAGAGATCTGTATTCCCTTGTATTTCAGGGAATTTCTGGGGGCTAGGAGAAGAACTCTCAGGACAGTGTGGGAAATGATCCTGATACACAAGAGCATAAACACTCTTCGGGTGTTCTACCTTAGGGGCTGAAGCTTGGAGGCAGGCAGGACCTGCAGCACCCTGTGGAGCACAGTGGTTTGCACTTGGGTGTTCACAAGGTGTCTGCCACATACTCTCCCAACTCAGCTTGTCCTCCTGATATCCCCAGGATGGTAAAACCATTCTGCAGTCTTTCAGGAGTAAAAATAGCACCCGGCTTACCCCACCCACTGCACCACACACACACCCTACCCTGCCCATCCACTGTGTGGCCAGTTACCAATATGGCAGCCTCTTCAGTGTTCCCAGGCCTCTCATTCCCACTTCCCTGCCTCCAGCGCAGTGTGTGTCTACATCCTTCCTGCCTAAGCCACCACCAGACATTCCTGACTGGCACCTACTCTGATCTGTGTTTTGAGCTGTTTATTCCTTTTTGTTTCTGAATAGTTCTCCTTGAACCCGTTATGATTGTTCTCTGTCCTTTAAAATCCCATAGTACTTTGTTCTTTATTTCTCTCTTGCCACCTTAAAAGCCTTCCCCTTTCTTTTCATATTTTGTTTGCTAAATGAATGAATCCTCACCCAATTAGTTTATAGGCAGGTCATCATTGTAGTCTCTATAACCCTATGACGTGTGCTCCATGGCTGCTCAGTACATTCACTTCAAGTTCATGTGGCTCTTTGCTCTGGTTTTTCTCTCCATTTTAAAAATAACATGGTGTTACTGCTCTTTCCACGTTTTCAGTAAATATGTGATCTGAAATCCAGAAATAATGTGTAACAGTCTTAGATTTTCATGTTTTATTTATTTGCATTATTATTATCTTGGGGGACCATTTAAAGGTGGGTAATTCTCAGTAGGTTCAGGTCAGATTTTTCTAATTGTTTTCTATTTAGTGGCCCTCAGTCCTAGCAGGGCCACTGTTACAAGCTTTGGACTGCACAAGCTTCTTCTGCCCTCCTTTCTCCCTTGCAGCCCCCTCCATTCCATGGTGGACTTCAGTTATAATGATAATCCAGTTGAGCACAAGTACTGAGGTGGTAACAGTGTCCCCACCATTAAATACCATTGTAGGAGAAAGTGCCAATGTCTGAGCCATTTGGTACAAATTTGTAAGCTGAATAATGCAAAGAATATAAAGCAACAAAAAAAGGTTAGCATTGGGTACAGAGGAGGTTTCGGGCATTGCTATTAGCATGTTCTTGATGATGGTGCCTCTGACTGGCAGTTTTCCATTTCTTTTACTTCAGAGCTATGAAGACTTGAGAGGGCCAGAACTCAAAGACCCTCAAGCCTGTTCCTTCTGTTGTACTTTTAATAAACTTGAGTTATAAACTTTTTGGCTCCGAGGGTAAAGCCGAGCTGGTTTGCTGCCCAGCTTCAGTATCACTTCCATCTAGATCCTTGCAGTTAAGGCCTCTAAGACAAGAGGGTTCGGAGCCTGTAAGGAAGGGGGCAACTGGCAGTGGGAGGTAGGAGTGGAGAAAGCGGGCTGTATAGAACTAGGA